TCGATCCGAGGGGCAAGTCCACTACAACGGTACACACTGTGATACCAATCCTGCATCAAAGGTCATAAACTGTGTGCGATCATACCCACAAATGTACTACAACTGGCTGTACCTGCCAAATATGTGACAAGTTGCCCCTCAGGAAGGTGGCGGCCATGTTTTATGCATAAACCCCATTCCAGTGAACAACAAAGAGCAAATTCATTCGAACGCGACACCCTTACAACGAAACTACGAATCACCTCCCCCCCCCCCCCCCGCTATACACAAACACTTGCGAGACGCCATCTTTACAGACACACATCGTGACGATGTCGCGCGTTTCTTCACAAGACAGGCGGGCGGCAATGTTTGGCGTCGAGCTATAGGCTGACAGCTCTATGGTCACATGGCATGCCACTGACAGAACGGGACTTGACCAAATACGGTCCCAACGAGCGGTGTTCGAACTTTGAACACACATGGCACACACACACAAACCTCATGTCGTCAACATGCCGAGTTAGCTGTCTTGCAGCAGGTGTATTTTTGGTAACAGATTCCAGCACGCACACTGCATGGCTGCCAACGCTTTTATACGTGTGTACACTTCAGAGAGGAAAGGAGAGCACGCGTGTGCGCCTGTCCACCATGTTGCTAGCGTCCGGAGGCGTCCATGCAGCCAGCAGGGGTGTGTCAGAGTTGTGTACGCACAGGCACAGCTCTCTCTCTCTCTCTCTCTCTCTCTCTCTCTCTCTCTCTCTCTCTCTCTCTCTCTCTCTGCGCTGTGCGTGATGACAGGCTGCAGTGACATGCAGCGTGACCACATGCTGTAGTCCAGGTCTGGCATTGTGTCACATTGCCGTGTGTGCACCAGTGCACACACCCATATATGCCTAACAGGGATTAGCATGATGAATAGCCTGCAAACTACACTCCCAGCCGCCCCGTGTCCTGTGTCTGCAGAATCCACCAGCAGACAGTGCACGTACATTTACATTTGAAGGGCTCCAATTCAAAACGCGATAAAGACCAAACCGGAGCTTTTGCGTTTTTCGTCACGAAAGAATTCGTTTTCACCCACGGACGTCTTTATCTCCCCACCTACATTACACACACTATCGTGTCTGGACTACAAGTATCAACTCTAGATGGCCATGATTAAATGCACACGATAATTTGTAAACCTTTGGTCCTCTTTTTAAAAATTGTTGTTATCCTTGGCTCTCCATCCGAGTCCAATCTGCATACATGATATAATTATAGTTTGAATCGGATGAGGTCACACCTGGCATATCTGCAGTTTCGCCTCCTGGTATATTAGTAAGCAGACAGGCTGGACCGGTTTTCATACAAAATATGATAAACTCCGAAGGTCAGAACTGATAGCATCAGCACTGCCAAACCAACACACAGCTATCATCTCACCCTACACCTTCGCCCATCCATTGAAACACAAAACCGCCGCAAAGTCGGAAGTCCAAAACACACTCAGCGCCAAGAGCAAGTTCCTGCTTCACAATGACTGTTTCCTGGCTGATACGGTCTGTGTCCCCCACTTGATCACTACACCATAGAACACCATCGAACAATAAGTAGATGCAATCACTACGGCCAAACCCATCATCAGCAGATGGGTACATCTGCATGATGGTACAAGAGGTAGTGAATGGAGAGCCTTTCCTGAGTGCCTGGAGTTTTATATTAAAAGGCCTGTCACGCCTGCTTAGACATTGTGTCTATGACGCCAGCACATCATTAACTTCTGACACCCAATTTTCCTAGCCCCTGTGGATACATGGTGTGTGCGTGTGTGCCTGTGTGTGTGTCTTTGCTGTTGTTGGTGTGTAATGGACGTATCTCCATGCACCATGCCTGCGCATGCAGAACACTAACCACTGCTGCAGTGGCAAAGCACTCTCAGCAGCATCCAACCATAGACACAACACGTTACACCCGCAGTCACCGCAACACAACCATTGCTGCTGACTCCCAGCACTCTATACTCCACACAGTCAGTTCAATGTCAACAACTGGAACTGAAAACCCATGATCTCAGGCATTTCCGCTAGTCCGTCCGCACAAACTAGCAGTGCCATAGCAAAGTCGCAATCTCCTCAGACATAGCCACTACTGCTTCGGGATGTTAGTACTAACTTTAGCAGAGCGCCCAGTACTTGTGGTGGTGGGATATTAGAACTTGAGCATGGTGCCCAGTCAGTAGAGTAAAGTCAGTGGAGCATCACCATGAAAACTCTCAGTCAAGTCCCATACTAACTCTGAGTCACTGTTCTGAACTGGAACTCTGACAGTCTCCACGGCACACACCAGTGTAAGCAGCTCCACACAAGAGATCACCCTATGACACGGTCAGTGTGGGGCATAGCAATGGTGGTGACTCATAGGCAAGCAACACTGCATGACACACATGGCTACTTGTACTGTAGCCTTCCTAGATTCTTCGTTGAAAGCCCTGCCTGAGCTCTGACTGTGTTCACTGCAAGGCACCATGATTCTTGGCATGAATGACCCTGAGTCAAGTGTGAGTTTAGTCATGTTGAGTGGCCCTAAGTGGACCTTGTCTCAGTCACCTAGCCTCAGCATGCATCAGAGTGCCAAGTCAGCCTGAGTGAACATCAGCTGACTCTGCTATTCTGCTGTACAAGCAGACCCAATCGCAGGTGTAACTAACTCAGCTACAACTATTTGTACTAGGAGTCATCATGGCAGGCACCTTTCTGCAGAAGCAAAATTAGCCATAATGACCAATTGTTCAGAACATCTTCAAGATCAAGCACTGCCTGAATATGCTTCAGCTCAATGAACCATCACTAAGTTTCCACAAAGCAATGCTAGCGGGACTTCCCCTAGCACTGTTGGGGCTCACCAGTGGAGATAGCTCTGCAAGTGCGACTTGGTTGTAGTACTACTAGTACTATTACCAGTACTAGTACTAGCAAGAGTACATAACCCAAGAGTGTGCAACTCCAGCTATGGGGTCTGCGACGGCAGAACTTCACATCACGTGATGAACCCGTGCACTCTAGTGCATGATAGATACTGGGTTGTACGCAGCCCAGCTTTGGGTACAACTCTCTTGTGGTCACTTTGCACTGTTTGCCAGCATAACCTTTTGAACCATGTCACGTGATGTGAAGTTCTGCCGTCGCAGCACAGCATAGAGGTTGTGCAGGCAGTTGCACACTCTTGGTTATGTACTCTTGGTACTAGTAGTAACTAATACTGCACTGTACAATAGTAAGTCTAGTTGCTGGACATGTCATCATAGTCATTGACTTTGTGACAAGCAGTGGCACCAGCTGGATCAGGCCAGAACTCCAACAAGAACTGATTTATGGCTTTGGCCAGTTTGGAGCTACTAGTACATGCACCAGCTACTACTACTAACTAGTACTAGTAGTGTACAGAGTGTAGTACTTGTAGCTCTGGGGGCCATAGCCTACTCCTAGCCTAGGACTAGTTCTTGCAACAATGCTGCATCAGTTATATACATTAAAATTGTCATTGTACTACAGTCAGACCTCGCTTAACCGCACACATCTGTGTTTTCCACAAAAATATCCGGATAGGTGAGGGAGCCGGATAACTGAACACACATACTGGATATGCATGTGGCATGTCAAAAGCAGTGACATCATACATACATGTAGACGGGGTCCTATGCAGTACAACTAGCGTGCACAACATGTAAAACAAGCCAGAAAAATGACAAGTGCATGCAACTGAGTGCTGTCCACATGCACCCAGCAGACCTCATTTGCCTGTACAACTCCCTGATTCTAGTTTCTGCAAGCCACATGCAACCAGATACGACAAAGCTTTTTGTACACATTTTAACCAGTTTGTACACAAAATCATGCACTGGTATGCGGATCGCGAGGTCCGGTTATGTTGTATGCATAACATATGCTGCACATCGGTAACCAGCGATTTTCTTCCAGATGGCGAGGGATCCGGATAAACGAGGTCTGACTGTACTACTAGTAGTAGTACTAGTAGTGCATTAGTTAGTTCAGGCAAGTCACAATTAGTGGTGCCCTAGTGTGGGGTGTGCGAACAGATGAAGGCCAGCAGCGTTTTTTTCTAAAGCCAAGACTGCCAAGAGGTGACAGGTTGAGGACACCAGCTCGAGCCCAGCCAGTGGCAGTTGCCTAAACAACGTCGCGCTCCAGCGTCACCTGCAGTGGTCACGCTCCAGCTCTCAGAACTGACTTTCGCATCCTTGCAGTTGCACTTTTTCACTTGAACACGTACAATCAAGTACAAGTCATGCACAGGTCATGCACACAGGTCATGCACAGGTCGATCTAGCCTGGCGTGCAGCTGCATAGCAGCAACACAGACTCAGTACATGACACAAATTCAATGGTACATGTCGAACAAGTACTAAAAAAACGTGAGATCATCGATCACGAATGCAGTAATAATACCATGGTACGAGTATTAGTACGCTTCCGCAACTAGTCTCAGAGAAGCACACCGGACACTTGCCGACTCTATCACGCATGCCTGCGGTGGGGATCAGTGCTGCCGTGCAATCCCTGTTTGCACTTCTTTGCCTGCTTTCCTCCTGGCGTTCCTAGGAACTATTACTAGAGTCCGCTTTCCCTTATGGTCATCCTACAGTCAACTGGGAACTTGTGGCCAGGCACAAGGGGTACATGGGTGCAGCTAATGGGGATTCTCGACACTTGTGCCAGTGGTTGTGAGACTTATCCACTCACCCCCACCGTTAGGCGCTGCATCTGCCGCTAGGGTTTACCGGGTGTTAGCGGATGTCGTGAGTTCCCTTTGGGAACGGACACGATAATTTACTTTATACTTATGGTCATGAAGCCCACTCAGACACAGAAAATTTGCATACATTACCAATCTTTTGGGGGATTGCGTGTGTGTGTGTGTGTGTGTGTGTGTGTGTGTGTGTGTGTGTGTGTGTGTGTGTGTGTGTGTGCGTTCTCATGCAAGATAACCCCAAAGAAAGAGAAAAAGTTAGTTCTTACCCTGATGACATGGATCCTTGCGTTACCCACATGCTTGGTGTGTCAGTCTTGTGATACTTGATGGAGGTGTTCACAGTGCCCTCGTGTGTTTGGTAGTGGCTAGGATACACAGGGACACAAGCATAAGAGAGTGGTATATTCATACAGGAGCGTCGGAAGGTAATTTTGTGTGGTACGGTCAGTCATCTGAAGTACAACTTACTCGTGGGGGAGACCGGGTGGATGAGCCCAAAATTATGGAAATTTAGAGCCCAAATCAGTACATTTTATTGATTCACCGGGTATTTGGGGCAAATAGTGGTACGGTCAATACCGTAGTGACCGTACCGTGTGCGACGCCCCTGTCATAAGGGTGAGGATGTCGGAGAGTGTTGTATGGTGAGAGATTCAGAGATACGGCAAGAAAGCCGAAGAGGAAGAAAGAAAGATAGATAGAGAGAGATAGAGAGAGAAAGATGGACAACACCATCACCACCACCACCACCTCTACAACCACCACCAACAAGAACAAGAACAAGAACAAGAACAAGGACAACAAGAACAAGAACAACAAGAACAGCAACAGCAGCAGCAGCAACAGCAACAGCAACAGCAGCAGCAACAGCAGCAACAAGAAACAACAAGAACAAGGACAAGAAGAACAGCAACAGCAGCTGCAGCAACAGCAGCTGCAGCAACAGCAGCAGCAGCAACAACAACAACAACAACAACAACAACAACAACAACAACAACAACAACAACAACAACAACAACAACAACAACAACAACAACAACAACAACAACAACAAGGCGATGGTGCCATCGTGAGAATAAAGAATTCAAACAAAAAAAAAAAAACAACAACAGCAGCAGCATATCATAAGAATAAGGATTTGAAAGATTTGAAACCAAGAACAACAATAATTATTATAGCAATCCAAGTCGCACTTACACAGAATAATCTGCAGATTCAATGCTGTCTTTACGCACTCCCTGGTCATCCATCAGCACAACACCACTGGCTTCAGATGTCCGCCGCTCTCGATCCTTTGCCAATTCAGCAACGGGACGTTGACGCCTGCACATCCTGCACATCCTGCACGTGCACAGCAATAACAATGGCACACACACACACACACACACACCACACACACACACACACACACACACACACACCACACACACACACACACACCACACACACACACACACACGCGCACACACACACACACACACACACACACACACACGCGCACACACACACACACACACACACACGCGCACACGCACACACACACACACACAGACGAAGAGTCAGCATTAAAACCAGCGTGCAGTCATACCTGCATTATTAAGTATGTAACTGTGTTATTTTGAAAAGGGGTACACGATATGGTACCAATCTATTTCATAGCAATACACTATAAAATTGGCTTTAATTAATGAGCTTCAAAGGGGTCCAAAATCACCAGAACCCCTTAGGATAAATTCTATTAATCTGTAAAAGAATTTCGTGCCAAGAATACTACATGAAGCAGTTGAGCAATGACGGCGAGACCTGTACAGAGTTTCGCTAGTAGGATAACAATGCAACCGAGGCACAACGCGCAAAAAACGGCATAAAATGATAGCGTACGTCATTGAGTGGCTATGAATGAATGACAGAGGGAGTCGTTACCTGTTTATATGCAGTGATGGCGTTGTGGACGCATGCACGCGACGGTGACTGCACTGGATGGCGGTGGTAGATGGCACTGGCAGATGGCGTTGGCTTGTGACACAAGGAAGTGTTCGCTGCGGTCCACCGAAGGCAATCGTGGTGGTGGCTACACAGTCATACTACATATTTCATATTTTCTTTATCTATCATTTTTGGAGAGACTCCCAAGAGAGGTCTTCATTTACCTCTGGAGAATCCAGACAATACAAAACAATTCACATGTGTGCCAATGTGCAGCAGACAGCTAGTTTGTGACAGCGGTCTAGTGGTGGTAGTGCTGATGTCAGGCTGCATCAACCACTGAGCACGCCCAGTGACTGGTCAGACCATGGGAGTCAATGGCAATGTGTATGTGCACAACAGCAGCAGCAGCACCACCACCACCAGTAGCAGGAGAAGCAGCAGGAGCAGAAGACACAGACCTACACAAATACACACAGGGTTGTGCCTAAGGCCGTGGCTATGGCATTCATGCATGATTATGACTGAGTGATTGACTGCGGATTGACTGACTAGGGTAACAGATGGTAACAGGTGCTGACAGGAAGGTGAGTAAATGAACCCTGCTGCACTGGCTTGTGGTGGGACCCAAGATAAGGGAGAACCCCTCCTCCATGCGTGACAGGATGGGAGCATGCAAGTATGACCCAGTAAACATGCGTATGGTGAAGTCCCCCGACCCAATATTCAGTGTGTGCATGGGAAGGAGGGTGGGTAAGCCCAATAGTGATCTTCCCGGGTGGTCTATTTCCCGGTACACCCCAGGGAAGCACTATAAAGGCATGCAGGTCAGCCACAAATAGGGGATATGGGGCAACACTGTCCCCGACAGCCAGCTAACTTGACTGAGGTCCACAGGGCTCAGCTAATCACATAGTTGCATCAATGTGAAGGCAACCATGACATGCACCACTGCCATTGTGACCCCTAAGGAAGGGATTCCACCATTATTATTTTCTTCTTCTTTTATTTCTGTGTGTATGTGTGTGTTTGGGAAGGGGGGGGGGCATGCCAAGATGCACTAGTGTCAAACTGCATTGGTATGGCTGCACAAGAATATGCTTGTTCCCTGGACAGAGTCCTGTGCATCCTGGAAACATCAGAGCTTGCTGCAGCCATACACTGTCTGATGTGGGTCAACAGCAGGAGATCCCCGGTCCCGTCCAACGGCATCAGGGTCAAAATTCAGAGCACAACATGCAGTTGAACAATGACTTGGGATGGCAGGAAGACAAAAAGACAATGATTTGGGATGGAGGGTGAGCGCAGTGACATACTCGACGAGACATGGCATAACACGCATATACGCAGTGAAAGGAGGCGAGCTCCAACAGTAGAATATCCCAACCGGAATTGATAACTGACAGCGATATATTTTTTCGAGATGGCATTTTAGTGCGCATAGATCATGGTGTCACAGAAAGAAAGCGAGAGAGAGAGAGAGAGAGAGTGAGAGAGAGAGATAGATAGATAGATAGAGAGAGAGGGAGGGAGAGAGAAAGAGAAGAGAGAGAGAGAGAAGAGAGAGAGAGAGAAAGAGAGAGAGAGAGAGAGAGAGAGAGAGAGAGGGGGGGGGGGAAGAGAGAACACAACACGGCGACACAAACTCAACACCTGTTCGATAAAAAAAAGCAAAGTGGCCAGGGCGGCTAAACACCAGAGGTACATGCTGAGATCGGTAACTTTGTAATGGTACAAACAGGAGAGGAGGAAAAACTTCAGGAACACAACACCTCATCATGCAGTGTATTCAGATCTACAAGACAAACTTCAGTACCTTTTTTGACACCATTGCCCTGCACAGGCCAATGAACACAACACAACTCTTACTGGGCCATAAGCCATGCATACACACAGTGGTGGTCGGCCTGGCGTCCACACAGTCCCGCCTTGCCCTACGAAGAAGCCAGAGCAGGTAGATCTCTCCGATGATGCCGATCACACTCGCTGTCCCTACTCAGTGTAACTCAGGCCCCAGCCTGCATGGTGCACATGCTATTCTGTTACATTTTTCGTCATTCGGCCCAGTAAAAAAACTGTGCAAAGCTCCCTTTCAAGTGCGCATTATCCAGTGTTAACATCTTCGGACAAAAATTCAGTTCACTGTCACGCTGACTTCTCCATAAGGCAAGGCAAAAGTGCGGCGGGACAAAACGTGGAAATGCGGAACACTGTCAAATAGGACTACAAGGTACAACAAAAACGGGAAGAGGTGCAGCGGCAACTACGCTGGGCGCCTTGGAACAAAACTACCATAAAAGAGAGCACGGGGCTTTTGAAACAGCTGCAACGGGGCAATGCAGGGAGAGAGAGCATTGCGTTGGGCTCAATCTATAAACGTTCCCTTCGAGTCATGTGTCCAACACAAAGGAGACAAAAAGTTCGGCGGCAGCGACTCATTGAATCAAAAACTCAACAAAGAGGGATGGTCAGGACGACTTCATATCTGGTAAATTCTCGAGCACTGATGCAGCAGACATCAAATGTGAACGACTCCTGTGCACTTCTCCGACCCAGGCACGAGCCTGTCCTCGACCGACGTCGGAACAAACAACGGGATGCTGACACTCTTCTCCCCGCTATCTCCGTTCTTGTCGTCGTGTTGCGACGGTGAGCGGTCACGTCCCAAACCAAGCCGCTGCTGCTGGTACTGGTGGACGTCCGGACGTAGCGGAACGCCGGCTTCTGCTGGCTCTGGTGCTATTTGGGAGCTGCGCAAGGCCTTGCCACACCTGGACACAAGGAAGCCGAATGGCCAGGGAGAAGGATTCAAAGGAACCATCAATGTCAGCAGCACTACAACTCCGACATGGGGGGGGGGGGGGAGGGGGCAGAAGCAAGGCAGGATACAGGACAACACACGTCACACCCCACTTTAGGTAGCACAGGGCACCTGTCTACTTCTAGTGTGTTTATACAAGTAGCAGTCGCGTCGAAAGACGACACGAACATGGTCTCACTGCAGCGCGTGTGTACAACGAGGGGCGCATCATCTCGCTTTTTCCGCTGTCATTATTATCTTTTCCGGTGGGACCACTGAGAAGTCTTTCTCCCTGCACTCCACTGCTAACAGGTTGCGAACATGAAGTGGCAGGACCAAAATTTTCAGAGTTTTTTCAAAACGAGAAACAAGAAGAGAAAGGAAGAATACAGAAGAAACGGCCGTCGAGGCACTGCCCATTGGTGGAGTGAAAAAAATAGGAGATAAACGGCAATGTGACGCAAAGTGTATGCCTCACAGATACTGTAATCTGGCGCAAGATCAGGCCGAAAACCTGCACTGCACAGAGATATATTTGAGGATCTGATGAGATAACGTTGATTGCAAAACAATGCACGGCTCCGTAGCTAGCCTGAACACGCAAGAAACGGCAAAGCGCCGAGTAACACAAACAACTTGAATTACTAAAAAAAGGGAGAAAATGTACGAGTACGGCTCGAACTGAAAAGGAAACGAAACTGGGGACTGCTCAAAATTGGCCGCAAAACACGGTAAGAAACCATACCATACAGTAATTTAAAAAAGAAAAGGGAGGCATACATTGTTTGGCAGGTTGCGAAACTAGCTCAAAGGCTGCTTGCCACCAGGAAAGGGACACTACTAAGTTACCGCTACAAGTGGTTGCGTAAGATGAAGTAACCACATGTACAGAGGAAGTGGAAAAGCCAAAAACAGAAAAAACGAGAGAAATAAAAACAAGGAAACGGAATCACATGCGGAGGGAGAGAATACGGCAACGTGCAACATTAACTTGTCCTTTTTTTTCTTTTTTTCTTGGGGAATTGTAACAGTGTGTTTGCTAGCAGTTGGTGACCAGGGGAAGCATGCAAGTGGATGGGGGACAGCTATGACTGATTTTGATGGAGTGTATTTAATGTGAGCATGCAGACCATTCATGCACTACAGATGTGTTATACATGAGCAGAGTGAAACTTTTTTTGTAGGATTTTGTATTTTTTGTGGCAAAAAGTAGGAGAGTGGCATGCAGGTTTGTGTGGAACTTCGTGCGGGTCGAGCAGCCCCTGGCGAAGAACATGACAAAGGGACTTGGGAAAGTGCGGTGCTCAAATATGCACAACAACATTAACAAAGGGGAGAATGGCATGCAGCAAGCGCAGCGTGGAAAGCATTGTGATGGCGCGTGTGCGCGTGTGTGTGCATGCGTGCGTAGCGTGGAACGTATTGTGAGCGTGCGCGTGTGTGTATGTGTGTGTGTGTGTGTGTGTGTGTGTGTGTGTGTGTGTGTGTGTGTGTGTGCGTGTGCATGTATCTGTGCGTGCGCGCTCGTGTGTGCATGCGGGCCGATAGTCATAGACATAGGGCAACATGCAAACGGAGAACCGGGCCAATGGGATGGTGATGGCAGGTGCAGCTGAGCACGTCAGCCAGAAGAACTGTGGCCTAGTTTCAGATAGGCTTGCCCGAGGCCCTGGGGTACGGGAAGTGGGACAGGAAGAAAGAAAAAAAGAAACAGGGAAAGACAGACAGAATGAGAGAGCAGGAGTGGTTGCTGACGGCTGAAGAAGACCGATGATGACAATACAGAGGAAAGAAAGGGAAGGAGATGAAGTCGAAAAAGGATGGAAGGAAAGCGTCAGACTTAGCCTACCATGTACAATTACTGCTGGGTTGTGGGAAGTGGCCTTACAAGGCATGCCCTCCTACCATGTACAAGTACTGCTGGGTTGTGAGAAGTGGCCTTACAAGGCATGCCGTTGGGATGTCTCCACTCTATTCGTTGCGCTTTTTCTTTGTTGGATCTACCATTGAGTACACGTCTCTGGGAGGTGCAGGTGAATCCGTAGCCAGGGACTCCAAATTTGGTGATGGCAGTTGGTTGTCAGTGGTCGTGCCCTGGGCCGCGTCAGGAGGAGGCTGTGTAGGAGTTGTTGCCAGTGCTGGGGCCTGCGGTGCAAGGTTGGTTGAATCGACCGTCGAGTACACGTCCGGTTTGGGAACCGCAGGTGAAGCCGAAGCAGGGGAAGTGACTGCGGCAGCGTTCGGCAAGACCTTGCCGATGTGGTCGTACGTGCTCGGGTCGGGACCCTCCCCAGTCGGTTCAGTGTTGAACGTGAACGTGTCGTAGGTGTCACCGGCCGGGTGCGCACCAGGCTTGGCGGCTGTTGGTGGCAGGGCGACGTCGTACTTATTCTCGGCCTCTCCATTTGCTGCCATCTGACCAGTGGTATTTGTGCCCTGTGCTCCCTGAGCAGTGGTTGCATTGGGTGGAACGACGTCGTAGTCCCCTCCACTGGTCAGGTGGGCGGGAATACGATTCATCGGGACCGTGGCAGGAACGTTGGGATCGTGTGGCGGTATAAAACCCCTCGCCCTGTTCTTCTTGTTGATCTCAATAAGGCCAGTGTCTGGGTGGAGAATGGGGCCAGCATTGCATGTGTTACGCACACATACACCAATACATAATGCCACAGCACGGAGAAACCAATGCATCTGGTAACATTTTAAAGCTAAAACACCACATTATAAGCATGATATTTTTTTACCCTTTTTCGTGTGTTGTACTTCACGTACTGTAGTACATGCACTGGGGCCATGGGATGCAGAGAGGGAGAGACTTCACAGTTGCAGCATAGTACGTGTTTCCCCACTTATGCATGTACAGTCAACTTTGCGTATAACAACACTCGGCGGCGGGGCATCAGAAAACTGTCCTTACTCTCGAAGTGCCCTTATACCCCAAGTCTCATTACATGTGTTACAGTTAGATGGGACTTTGCTTGGGACATGGAAATTCTGTCGTTATTTGCGAATTGTCGTTATATCCGCAGTCGTTATTAGCGAAGTTGACTGTACTTTGAAGTACATTTTGCTAGCTTATCTCGCCACTATTCGCAACACAGTGATAAATTTCACCCTGCTGATGCGTTCTTTTCGCTTTGATGCGTTCTTTTCTTCCGATTATTATTATGTTCTTCCCTTTTTCTTTCTTTTTCCTTCTCTTGCCATGGCTGGATAGCGCCCTCTCCTTTGCATTGGCTTCTGCCATTGAACGGTGAAATAAAATAAAATACATAAGATGTTGTTGTGCAGAGATTTGACATAGTTTTGGCGTTGGGGGCTTTGTTGACCTCAGGCAAGTGCCACTACAAAACTTGATTTTCATTTCGGCTCGCACCGTCAATGGCCTGCTAAGTTAAAATTCCTTGTGAGACGGTCTTTTCTTGCCACCAAGTCGCATCCACTTTCCAGCACTTTCTCCGGGATGGTGCGTCATTGCACAACTTCTGTAGGAGGTTGTAGTAAGATCGCTGTTTACAGGAGGAGATCTCTTCCTGCAGCTAAATTCAATTATTATCTTGCTACTCTCATTACTTACTGGCAAGAGTACATAACTCCACAGAGTTTTCAACCACCAATGGTTGCTGTCGCCACTACTCATCTTTAGAAGACAGGTCATGCTGCACCCCGTGAGGAGCACGGGAGGGGGCCACTACGTCTTTCTGCCTTCGTTCAGCATGCGCATGTTCGGGCGAAATGGCGGGGACCACAGAGTTCAGTGGCTGCCGGGAAGTCAGAATCGAGTGCCAGTGTGCCAAGTTCACGTTTACCTGTAGCTAGCTGTATGTGTGCTGCATAGCTGTACACTGCAATTTCTTACTGCTGTAGGTGCGGACTGATTCAACAAGATTTTCGGCTATGCACCCCTAAAAGCTGGACCAGATACGTAACTGGAATAACTCCATTCCTCGTGATCTAATTAGGCCCTATGTATTTTAGATGCGAAGTCAACCGTGCACAATGAAGTTTCGAGCACCGTCAGGCGCATTGCACCGTGAAAAATAAAATACGTCAAAAATGAGTCGTGACTGAAGCCTATGTGGAGTTACGCACTCTTGATACGCTCTTGTTAATAGAGCTGTACTCGTACTCTAAGGCTCTGCTGTCCTTGCCTGCCAGTCCTCGCAATTCGTATTTTTTTATCTCGCTTACACTTTCATTTTGGCACAGTACTGTCGTGGACAAGGAAATCCAGTCGAATGACCGGGGCCGGCGCCCTCAGCGCGTACAGAACGTTGCATGCAGTGCACATGTTGATCTGACGCGACCAGCGCGCTGCAGCGCATAAATGCATGTGTGTACTGCTTACCCACGCCTGCATGGCCAGCGAGCCCCCTGGGGCCGCTAGACGTGCGACCGGACTTCCATGTCCACGACAGTAGGACTAAAAAAAAACTAATTTTAACGTTTGGTACTGCATGCAGCACAGGCTAGGAACCTTGCCCCGTTGATGATGTCACTTGAGTACTACTTTTACTATTCCTACACTGAACCCTTGGCTAGGCATGTACATATGACACAATGAAGACATAATTATCATTATCACATGGCACGTGATTGTTGCCCGTACTCCAGCGAATCAGCACCTTTCGCGCCGCGGGCAATAATATGCGATATTGCCCGCAAAAAAATAGTTTATTTGCCCGCAAAAAAATAGTTTATTTCAGTGATCGCGTGACTACGACGAGTCTCGGACTGTACGACTCTACGACGAGTCGCAGTGTAGCATTGAGACGAAGATGGAATTCTTTTTGGAGATGGACATCCCGGCAATGGACATGGCCTCGGACGTCTGCCGTGTGGTGCTTGCAGGGATCATTTGTTCAGTCATGTTGGCAGCCTGACCGTCGGTAAGCTTGTGGATAAGATTCAGTTCTGCTCGAAGTGGTACTGTGATCACAAACAATTATTTGAAATAACACAAATTCAACTCAGCGTCGTGCGTTTTCAAATCCTCGCAAAGTCACTGCCTGTGTGTGGTCTTCATGTGCCACGCAAAACTCTTACCAGGCTCATCTGTCCTCTGCCTTCACCTTTGCTTGAACAACAAACACAACAATTCAGGAATGTTTTGCAATGAAAAATACAGCTATATCTGGAGCTGAAAAAAAGAAGAAAAATTGTCCTCAGAATTACACACCAGGGAGTCGACAAATCCTTGCACTTGTTGTAGTGCTGTATTTGACAACTTCCTGATACACATGTAAACATGAAGAAACTCTTTGTGGTAGCACTCTTAATTTTTCAACTGAAATTATGATTCTGCTGTATTGTATTGTCGTAGCTAGCCATGTCTATTGCTATGACGATGCGGTGCCGGCACTTTTTTTCTGTCTCCGTCTTTCAGTACTGTATACTCTCTGATGGCCTGTAGCAGACTTTTTGTTAGGGTGTAGGAGAAATATCTTCATTTTTCCTGTTTTGATAATGATAGCACATCAATATACATTGTGGTCATAATGTGTTGGCATTTGGGGTAATTTCAACAGCAGCCCAATGGTCTGCTCTGTGGGCCATGTGATAAATTTGTTATCGCATGGTTGCTGCGGGCCTTATGGCATATTATTGCCCCTCGAGGTTAGCCCTCGGGCCTACGGCCCTCGGGCTAACCTCTCGGGGCAATAATATGCCATAAGGCCCTTGCAACCATGCGATAACATATACTTATTTTTAAAGTGAGCAAAGTGACATTTACTCACCTCACACATGTCAGATCCATTGAAATGCTGAAAGAATAAATGCACTGAGGGGTCGGGTCGACAAGGGTACATAACCAGGAGTGTGCCCAACGCCCACCCCCTACATGGTCTGCTGCGATGGACTCGCCCAGGGCAGAATTCCTTTATTGAGGCAACTTTTCGGCGGCAGTATGATCCTATGTGTACGCCTTTCCGCACTATTCACGCTACGTAAGTTAGTCAGTTTCACCAGTTTAGGAAGCATACATGCATCCACAAGATCTGCTCCATTGTGACCATTGCAACGGCAATGGACGTCTTCTTTGCCCTTTCGATCTCTGGCTACGCAAGATAGCAACAGTGAGCCTAATTACTGCGAAAGACTGTTGTCATTTTTAATACGAACAATATTCTGCCGTGGGCTAAGGGATCGCCGAGCTGCACACTCTTGGTTACGTATTTCTGGTGCCAGCAAACAGCTGCCTTGTTTAATCTACTATAGCCTGTATATGTCTACCCAGGTGACACCATCAACAGGGCATTTTAGCAACTAAACACATCCTATAGATGCCGGTTTCATTCAATTGCAGGGATCGATTTACTTTGATTTTTTGCATAGCAGTCACTGCTACACAGTTTTACAATTGACTAGCACCTCCCAGTATTGATGAGTAGTTTTCCTTCATCAAAAGTTTCCATGCAATTCTGTACAATAACAGGATTATGTACAGAAGAGGACAATAGCTGCAATTGCTATTTGCTTTTCCAAGCGAACGGTTGACCTGAATATTTACATTAGGGTTTCGCTTGGGCTCGTTACATGTTCAGCGTCTGTCCAACTTCGAGTTCTTCACAACACAGTGTTCTTCAACAGGGCAGTTCCACTGATTCCTTCGACAAAGAAGCTCAGGAAAGCGCTCAAACGATCGTGACACTTCGTGCAAAGCGCACAGAATTTTCGCTTTTCTTCTTTTCTTCATCAAAACGAATCGACGCCCCTGGCGCATCCAGTTCTTTTCCCGCTTCTGGATAGTGATCAGATTCACTGCCATGTTGGCTACATGAGACTAAGAACCGAGACTAAAAACCATCTACTTCAACTGTGTCTTGTCGAAAAGAAACAAACTGAATTGAGCTTGAGAACTTCAGGGAAAGTCGCCGCCGTATACAAAACTTCAAAAGACTGCAGTCATGCACGACCAGTGCTAGTGTAGTGTCCAAAATCATAAAGAGCGCGATCCGCAACCCCCGCGCGGACTGAGCAGGACAGGCCAGTTGGTTGGAGTAGTAAAATACTACTCCCTAGTCAGCAGTGTGTACAACAGTCGCATGTAAACTGCACACAATCAGTACAGAATGGTCTTTGTACATACCGCTATGCATGGCCAGTGCATCGCAGTTTTAGGCGATAGAAAACGAAAAGCGAATCGCAGCCAGTGAATTTTGATTCGCAAACTGCGATGCGAACCCGGATAAATCGATCCCTGAATTGGATAGCACACTTCCGTGGGACAATGGCTCGGGGTGACGTTGGCCATTGATAGGTCTCAATGAATTTCTGAGTTGTCCTTTCGATGAAAAATCTGCAGTCTACAAACTGAAACCACCCTCCAGAGGGATGCGGAGACTGGAAACTGCACTGTTAGATAAGCCGATTTTACCTACGCATGTGCAAGTACTGAGGCTTCAAAACGTACAAAAACTGTTGTCTGAGCTGGTTACAACCGTGGACTGTGCGCACGGTGTCACTGCGGGCGTGACACATCGGACACCAATCGCCAAGCCCATGCATGTAACACATGCATAGGTTGCCCTGCCAGCAGGCCAGTGTATTGTCGATGCACTCATATCTCTCATATCCGGGCAGCCCCCGGGACCGGGCGCTACCCATAACTTGGCAGGGGCGGATCCAGGGGGGTGCGAAGGGTGCAAATGAACCCGTCAGGATTTTTCCAAAAAAAAAAAAAAAAAAAAAAAAAAAAAAAAAAAAGGTCAGGCCAGGCCAGGCCAGGCCAGGCCCAGGCTCGCTGCGCGGATCCGCGGATGATTTGTGTGCAATCGCGTGATCGTTCTGGACACGTGCTCGCGCCAGGGCTGCACATTTGGAATAGAACTTTTTTGGAACTAACTGTTACTTTTTCACTGGCAACAAACTCACTTCGAAGTTCTTTACTTTTGACGTTGCATGTTTCAATTGTCGTGTTAGCTTCTTTCAAATTCTCACTGCTTGTTCCGACTCCGTTTCCGTGCATGCTGAGCAGAGATGTCGGACACAGCTGGTGAGACCATGGAGCCTGCTGCTAAGCGTCGTTGTGAGAGCCATCATCCTTTTGACATTGGGCGATTTGCTGGATTGATGGAGAATGCCAGCAATGATGACATCAAGTCGCTCCTAGATAATGTTTGGAAGCCTTTGAACCGCATGGACTGCCCATCGACATCTGGAAGACGTTTTCAGCTCTCGTGGATTGAAACTTATCCGTGGCTGGCGTACTCCAAGGAAGTGGATGGTGCGTTCTGCATCTGGTGCGTTTTATTTGGCCATAGGTTCCAGGCATTGAGTAAAAACTCTTCCAAACTGGAACAGCTGTATCGTGAACCCTTTCGGAGTTGGGGCAAGGCATCTTCCAAGTTGCAGATGCACAATACCAAGTCCCATGTCCATAAGTTTGCTGCCCTGGAATATGACAATTTCCTTCAGCTCATCGAGAATGTTCGCAAGCCTATGGAACAGATGATCAGTACTGCCCATGCACGTGCTGTGGAGGCAAACCGTGCTAGAGTATTATCAACAACATAATATTTTGGGGACGGCAAAATATTGCCCTCCGTGGACACCATGATAACCAGACCAATGTCCCCACTGATCATAACCCTGGCAATTTCCCGGCCCTGCTGGATTTCATCCTCGCACCCCTCAGCTTTGGGGTCTGGATCCGCCCCTGCTTGGACATGGCCGTAACTCTGAATCATGAAGGTTTTGATGGGCAAGGGCCAGAGATCTTGCATATCGCATCACTATTTCCACAAATATTGGCAAAGGAGTAACAATATTTCCACAAATATTGGAAAAAGAGTAACAAATTTCCACTAATAGTGGCAAGAGAGTAACAATTTTCCACTAATATTGGCAAGAGAGTGGCAATATTTTCACGAAAATCACCCATAGGGTGCCCGGGTAGACCGAGGTACCCGGAACTTGGAGGTCTGGTTGAGGAAGATAAGAGTGAACAAGATTTCTTGTAATCTTTTCACGTACAACCTAGCCATGCGTGGGTGCGTCAGCTAACTATTGTTTGATTTGTTTGTTTGAAGTTTTATTTAACATCGCAAACCAAACGGGAATTGATGCCCAATATTATGATGGCGATAGAATAAAGAAAGAAATGTGGCTGTTAACGCGCTAAGCCTGTCCTGTTCACGTACTGCGCGATCAGGCTCATTTCCCCCAAAGATGTCCTTTCACCTACAGCGATTTCAAGTGAGTGCAGTGTTGTACAGACCACTGTGTACAACACAATACGTCTGCAGAAATCAGTCGAATCTTAACCACTGACGGTGTATCGGAAAGCCAATGAGCAGAGATTTACAGAACTATACGGTTGGTAGAAACTGGGCGGGAACGACAAAGTTCAAATTGCTGCAATTCCTGAAATTTCCTCAAGCGAAGTGCGCATATGGTGCTATTCAGGCACCAACTTCCTTAGTCTACCGTCCAGCCGCAGTCAATTGAGGAGCGAGGGGAGGGGATTCCCTGTACCAATACATTGACCTGGAAGTGGTTGTTGCAGTGATGGAAGGTTTCCTGAGTCAATGCCTCGACGAGTATCGCGTGTGCTCTGGATGGCAGTATAAAAGGAGTCGATGGGAAAAGTGCTAGCTTGAAACAATGCGAGGAATTGGCTTTCCTACTAAGGTTGCGTTTGTTCGGTGCCATTCCCCCACCATTCCAAAGTCATTCCGCCGTGTTTTGGTTCCGGAGCGTTTGTTTGATGCACTGGACAGCGTTTGTTCGGGGCAATTCCGATTCTGGTCGCAGAATGAAGGGGGCAGAATCGATTCTGGCGATTCCTAAGAAAAAGCGGAATGAGGTCTCATTCCGAGCGGAATGAAAATGCGCGGAGGGGCTTCGTCGCTGCTGCATACCTCTCCAACAAAGCTTCAAACGCGATTATCTATATACAGAAATGTTAGCGGACATTGTCCAGGGTATAGGCTGGCACTGTAACCTCGGCATAGTTACTTGTTCGTGGTATTTTGACCCTTCACTGCCTGAGAAAGTGTGCACCAGGGATAGTTGATGAACTGGAAATATACCCTCGCAACTCAGCTCTTCATCGTCGTCAAGCAGGGCCTCTAGAATCACAGGGAGGCAAGCCAGAACTAGTTTTCGAGCCAAAGACCCAAGACCAAAAGAGGCACTGAGCCTGCCACTTCACTTCTTCTTACAACAGTGCCTCGTCTCTGTCAAATAAACACGGGAGCTAGAGACGTTTCTGTGAGTGATACGAGGTCGAATAGCATGATGAAGTAGCGGCCAAACGCCGCCTGCAGGCACCCTAGTTACGGGCGCCCGTTGATCTACGCCGTGTTTGGCCGCTCCTTCTTCATGACTGGCGTCAGGACATGCAGAAACTTACGGAAGCAAATAGCAACTACCAGGACTGGCATGCAGTAGTCTTCGCGAGGCTGCAAGTAACACTCCAACAGGTAATACTCATACTCCAGAAAACCCAAAACATTTGACCGTCATTCCGTTTCCAGAGCTAGAGTGGCGCAAAACTTTTGCCAGATTCCCGGATGCATGCCACGCGTTTGTTTGCTACGCTCAATTCTGCGATGGGTACCAACGTCATTCCATGCCCATTCGGGAATGAACGAAATGCAACCTAATTCTACCGAGATTGCTACTCCTAATAGGGTCTTCCTGGGTTATCCATGGTCGTTTTGGAATGATTTTTGTATTTTTCTATAAAATCCTTTCTATCATACAAACACCAGTAAAAATAATTTTCTGTTCGCATGCTTCCGGCGTACTCAACTCAATGGACAGGCAGGGGGACATTTCTTTGCTCATGGTTATGTATCCAGGGGTCCAAAGTTCCAAACACTTTCCTAAAGTTAAACCACCGCCAGTAAAGGGGAAAACACAACGCGTGGCAGCGGGCTCATTGGGTACATCTGCCACACCAAGAACTAGGAGTCAATAGTAATGTCCTACCTCGGTTGCTTCTTGATCACCAAGATGATGATAACGACTAGAACGATAGCAAGTACAGCTCCTCCAACAGCAATGCCAACAATAGCTCCAGTTTCTAAGCCTCCTCCTTCTTCCTCTGTAGAATTAGTGGTAGTGGAAGGAGAAGAAGACCCATTCATTGTCATACTTGTTGGATTTGTCACATTTGTCATATTTATCATAACTGATTGTGGACCATCGGTTGGCGTAAGCAAGTTTGGGTGCAAGTAGTCGTCGCGTCGTGGGCAGAAACGTGGATGTAGTGGTTTTGGAACCGCACGTTGTGACATTTAGGGCAACAAAAGGACATAAACGAAAACGAGAAATTCACAACCAGAGGTCGAGCAGCAACTAGTTACTTCTGACATGCTCAGTGGTGTGGTACAGACGTACTAGTCGTATACAGAGTACAAAGTACACAATGAGCATGCCACCAAAGCCACGTGCACCTTTGCACTGCTAGAAAAAGGCTGCCATAATTTTGCCCAGTACACGTTGCAGAAAGGTGTTGTTACTGATGTAATAGTCACTTCTGAGCCAGTAGTTGCTGTGACAACTGTGCTTCTTCTGGTAGTCTCCTACGTTCCTATGTGTGCTACACAACTGGCTTTGGGTGACTGGGGAATTGGCATGCTACAAGCAAATCTATGCATTTTTTAGTAGTGTTGTGCTCCAAGTTTGCCCTTCAAGAGAACTAAGAGATCTGATGATAATGATCAAATACAATGGGAACCACACAATACATAAAGTGGTTATAACGCGTTCTCAAACTCGGTGCAGTGATTGGTGCATTCAGTGCAAGTGCAGAGCAAGGCAAACGACAGATAAGAACGTACCCGGGGGAGCAGATGGAGATTCTGCAAAATAGAATAGAGCAAAAAATGCACGCACACAGAGAAAAGCACACACATACCAGCACACAAGCGCACGCGTTATAGACAGAAAAACACAGATGGAAACAAACTACTCAAAACCGACAATGTAGATCGCAACTACGCGAGCCATCCAAAGCCAATAACGACCTAAGCCAAGTTGAACCTTGAAATCAATTCTCAAGCTATGATGAAGCAAAACTTCAAGTTGACATCACTGCTGGTACATGATTACAATCCACCACGTTAGTGTCATTGCATTCCAACATGCAACCTGGAGTGGAGAAGTAAAAAAGTCCTATGTTACCTTCAATCTCGTGAAGATGGGCTTCGGCTTCAGGTGGCATCCTCCATTGACATTGCCAACCCCACGCGAGGACTTGAACTCGGGACCTTGCTTGTCATGAACAATGCTCTAACAATCTGAGCTATGGGACCAGGCCAAACCTACAAGGCGCTGACATGTTGCTCACTCCAAAGGCAACTCACAATCTGGTAAAATGTGAATATTTGTTTGCTTGGAAGAGATACTGGACGAGATATTCCTTTCACTGCCAGCTGACCGCTCAAGCGACAATGCACTCAATGCAGGTTGTCAGCTGAGCTGTGCACCCCCCAGCGCCAGGGCACTTTTTACCTCCAGTTCAAACATCGAAAAGCCAACCTTTCATGGATTTTTGGTACATTCTGTACTGAATATCGTTTTCTAAAGTATACATCGCAGGTAGACAACTCATAAAGGAAGCCATTGCCCTCGAAAAAATCGCAAAATCCGAAGTACAAGCGTGCCGCGTGTTCTAGCGTCAGCCGCTGTGCAACAAGTCATGTCATGTGAAAGTGCGCCGTGCGCCGCATGTACTACATACACCCTGTGTAGCCAGTTAAGAAGTAAAGTTAGTTGTTGTTTTGGAGAGAGAAGCAGGTCCTGGTTTCCGTTCGGTGGGATTGAAAGATCTGCCAGTGGACCGGAGAGCTACAACACTTGAAACAGAAGAAAGTGCTTGCTGAAGCTTCCCTGTCTTCGTGGCAACAGGACTTCAGTTTGCGAGAGACTTTCGTCCTGTCACTGCGGACGCAATTCTTGTTGCTTGCAGAACACTCGGGGAATGATCGTAAGTCGTTTCGTGAAGCAGATTGGGTCGCTGTACAGCCACGGATTGTTTTGCCGACATGATGGTCCTTTGTTCTCCTAATTATTAGCAGTCCAAACTCATCTTTTCAACTTCGGAGAATGAAGCGCTTCCCTGTTCCGTTGACAAGCTAGCGCTTCCCTGTTCCGTTGACAAGCTAGGCGTTCGCGTATGTAATGCACTTTTGCATCAGCTTGCAGTAGATCGTTCGGTTTTGAGGTAGATGTCATTGTGGAAAGAATAATATTACAGTCGTCCCTCTCTAATCCAGCACTTTATAATCCAGCACCCTCGATAAACCAGCACAATTTTCAGTAGCCAAAATGTCCTCTTCATGCACATTCTAGCAGAAAATCCGATTTGTTAATCCAGCACCCTCCCTAATCCAGCAGATTTCCGTGGCACAAATGGTGCCGGATTATAGAGGGACCACTGTATAATTGTGTTGTAGCTGACATACCTGTAGTGTCCCTTGACCGTGCTGGTCGCCATTGCAACATTTTAGTTCTTAGGTAGTTCTGGACCCTAACGAGCGCCGCCAGCACTGTTTCCGTCAAGTTTGTAGCCTCATGCAAAATGCGTTCGTGAGGAACCCGTCGTTTGGTTGTCTCTACCCGTGACCCCAACCGCCTATCGCAATGGATAGCCGCCTGGAGTCTTGGGTAATAGCTAGGCATCAGGTCTGAACCAAATTCTATGCTCCGTGCAATGAAAGTTGATGGGAAAGAGAAAAATAATCACACCGACTCAGCGAGGTGGAAGTGCGTGGGAACCGATTTCTCGCGCCGCTCTGCTAAAAATCGGAACGCATTTTCAACGACGCTGGTTCGTTCTTTTTTTCCAAATGGCAACCGATACTCCTGGCAGCGTATTTCAATGGGTATTGACCTCTTCCAGGGCCCAGTTACCCTATACGGCAGCTAAACATCTCCAATACAGTCAGACCTCGCCTAACCGCACACATCCGTTTCCACAAAATATCCGGATAGGCGAGGGAACCGGATAATCGAATACACATACTGTATGTGTGCATAACATGTGCTGTAAATCGGTCACCAGCGATATTCTTCTGGATGGCGAGGGATCCGGAATAAAGAAGACCGGATAAGCGAGGTCTGACTGCACCCTGAAAAAGGGCAGAAGTTGTGGCCCAAACTGGGCGAAGTTGGCCTGTCGACGGAAGTTGACAGCGGCACTGGAACTGCATTTTTTGCTGGTCGACTGCAGTCGACAGCAGAAATGGGCTGTCGACAGCGCACGGCTGTTTTTTTTGTGCGATTTCACGCCACTTAACAATATGGCTGCCGAAAGTCTCGATTGGGCTTCAATGGCAAGAAAATTTGAATTTTCAAATCGTCAGAACACGAGTAGGCCATGGTTTCCCCTGGATTTTGGAGACTAGTCAGCCCGGACAGCCCGGGGAACACGCTGATCATCTGCGTCTTGTTTCAAGCTTCCCCTCGTACTTCACATGACTGCCTTTCCTTCAAGAAACATTTGTTCTATGTCGTACGACTTTGGCTTCGTTCTGGAATACTCCTTGTGTCGTCGCTGACAAACTCGGCTCCGAGAAGCCCTTCCCGATTTTTTCCCAGCTTAGATCGATATTTTCCCAGATAGAGGACTATCCTCTGGTTGTCTTCCCCAAGTGTCATTAGAATACGCGCGTGTAGTGGAACCCACGTTCGACCAGCCAGCACTAACGCAACACTTTGGATTAGGGAATGAATTATTTACAAGAGAATTGGAAGAGACATAGAAGTACCAGACTGAAACACACTGAACTAAAGGATCGAATCAACTACTGAAGTACAGAAAGACGGGCATGCAATCTAAGAAAGGAGTGCAGCTCCTCTCCTTGGAACAACAATGATAATCTGTCCTCTGAGTGTGGCGTACGTGTGATGTACGAATAAGAGAGTAATCGGAAGGGCTATCGTGCGAGGGAATAAAACCCCCCGACGACAATTGGCGCCCAACGTGGGGCTCGAACCCACGACCCTGAGATTAAGAGTCTCAGGAAGAAAGCACCAAAAACAACCAGAATGCGCACGATAAGCATGCGCACAACAACAAGAACATGTACGATAATCTCCAACCGGCGCAGTCCGCGCGCGGTCCGCACCAACGTGCCAAAAGGGGCACACACGTGCCAAAAGGGCAGGGACAACAAAAGTATTGAACGTTTTTGTTCCCTTCTTGTCAAAATAATACTGGGAATGATGGAAATAAGCTAAAAGACTACAACTGTAAGGGAAGGAAGTTCAGAAATACATCACTCGCATTATGTGTAGAAGTGACACGAAAAAAAGCGTGGAAATTCAATAAGTGACAAAAACGAAGCGAAAAGAAAAGAGAGAAAATATCAAGACAACTAGCACTGCCCGACAGGTGACACTTGATTCGTGTGTGTTTTGTTGCGTGGTAGGTCTTTGTTATATCTTGTCATGTCGGAAGGTTTTTTCCTGCTCCAAAGAAATCACGTATCACCGAAAAAAGCACGGTTTCAAGTTTGATCCGAAGGTGACAGCCGGAAACCAGCTGATTCACTTCAAGTGATTCTTGCGTGGAAGATGCGGAATTCTGTCCCTGCGGTCAGGTCGTTCCTTGGTGTCTCGGGCTATCGCCGCAGATTCATCCATGCGTTTGCGCAGCGGTCAGCCCCACTGACGGCTCTCACAGGTAAGAATACGCAGTTTGTCTGGAGGAAAGCTTGTGATGCTTCCTTCCGCGCCCTGAAGTCTGCGCTATCGAGTGCTCCGGTTATGGCATTCCGGGATGCCGGCCCCTTCTATCTGGACACACATGCCTCTAAAGTGTCCATTGGTGGTGTACTGAGCCAGGTGCAGGACCAGGTGGAACGCGCCATTGCGTTTGGCGGCTGAATAATGACGAAAACGGAGCGTAACTATGGCGCCAGTGACCGCGATGCCCTGGCCCTTGTCTTCTTCGCAAACCACTTCCAGCATTGTCATACTTGCCAAGTACTGAGAGTGCTTTTTCTGGGTCGCCATGGCAAAATCCCGGGATGTGCCTTGGTTTTTCGGGATATGTCGTATTTTCCAAAAAAACCTTTTCAACTTTTGATGGCACCAACATTTCGATAATAGATGATTGATGGTGATAATCGGATCACATTTACACATGTTCAAGACTCGAAAATGGAGGTTTTCAGGGACTGTTTATGGAAGGAGCACTGGTACTGCATGCTATGGTGGTCCGGAATCAATAAGGATAACTACTGGCCTGTGAGAAGTCATGTGAAGTGCTCCAATTACAATATCAAGCTTGTTTCTTGTACAGTGAATTTCGGGATAATCGACAGGAATTTCGGGATCGCGGGAGTTCATCTAAAATTGCGGGATAATCCTGAAAAAATATGGATACTTGGCAGGTATGCATTCTCTGCTTGGTCGCGAGTTCAATGCGCGGACATATAATTCTGCGCTAACTGCGTTGCGGGCAACAAAGAAAACAAACCTTTGTTGCCTTTCACCGTGAATGATTGTGTTGTTGACAAAGGCGGAAAGACAATACCAAGTCTGTGCAATAGGTCCTGCGAGCCAGACGTTCACCGCACTTTGTTAAGTTATATGTACAAGTGTCTCTTACCTTGAATGATGATGGAGTACGCTGTTGACAAAGGCTTGACTGCTCCAACACATCGGTCCAGTACATCCTGGGATGGCTGCCTTGCACCTCCAGAAGCGAATCTACAATTAAAACTGGTCTCGTATGCTGCAGTGCATGTCACATTGAACCTCACACCAGCTGGGTTCTCTCCGGTAAGCATTATGCTGGAATCATTTCCCATAAAACTGAAAGTAGAGTTCTCATATTCCAGCAGTCCATTTTGAGATGATCTGTTCAAAATTCTTTTTCTAAGATCTAAAGTGGATGTCCAAGTGACGTTCATGCCTGATGAACCCACAGTATTACATGGTATATCATATCTCAGATCAGTGTAGTTGAAAACCATTGTTGTAGGAGTGACAGAAGTACGACTTAGCTTTGCTGTACATTATAATGGGGATAGAATGTTAATGTTCACACACGGACAACCACATACACACGCACACGCCCCTCCCCACACACACATACACACACACGCACCCCCCCCCCCCACACACACACATACATACACACACACACACACACACACACACACACACATACACACACACATATGTGTACACATAATAGTACCCAATTCACGGAAAGAACTGTTTCCTCTTTTGTGGACTCATCAGCGCAGCACAGAGAAAGGCCGAGCCAGATTGCAATAAAAAATACATTTTCCAAAGCCAGATTTAAACCAGGTCCGAATGTACCTTGCCAGAGTGCTCGATCTGAAAAGTCAGTGAGCTCAGCATAACCCAAACACATGCCGTTCAATATGAACATCTTAATACTCCGAGTTCAGTTGCTACGCAACCTTCCCATGTAGAAGGTAATGCAGGCATGCATGGAAGACGGCTAAAAGTCTCCCGTAGTCGATACTGGCTCTCAGCCACAAATGCCGTCTAAACCCTCTCTGAACTCCCTGTCCGCTTTCACACTAGCTCAATCGTATTATTCTACTACAAGGATCACCTTTCCATTTTTTCCATTTTCACCTTCCATAAAATATACATTCCCCTCCCCAACTTCTACTCCTCCCCACTTTTTGTTGCACGGAAGTGTCGCTAAATCTGAGACCTCACAGAGAAGGTGCTTCTAACAGAGGTAATAGCAATAGAGCGCCATACCCAACAGCAGATTGGCAGCGGCATATGGCATAGGCTGAGAAGCAAGACCCTGACTGCTTCGCGGTTTTACCTCATCCCTCACCCGAGTGAGATCACATCAGTGCTTTCTTCCGTCGTTGCTCCAGGCAACCAGTTTCTCATGTGCTTCCGCTATTCGTCAGGGCCAGCACAAATATAGTTGTTCTATTTTTGTTGCATTTATCATTTTACTAGGGCCATCCCTGGAGACAATGCGCCTTTTTACAGGGTGCTCGAGGTAAGTGGGAAATGGCGCATTGCAAAGAGGTTACGTAGAAGGTTGTTATAACATAACAGCCTTCTACGCAGCCTCTGCGGCATGACGAAGGAGGCTGCCTAGCAGCATCCCGATGGAAGAAAACTCCAGCTATCACTGCTATCACAGACCAGGTACCTGTATGTTTTGCAAAGAGAAGCCATGTCGTGAAGAAGCATTAGATAGGGCTAAAGCGAGGGTGTACTATCCCCTCAGAAAGCCTGGTCAAGGCTTCCATAGCCAGCGTAGGGTGAATATTTTGACGTAAAAACAAAGTAAACTCTGCAAAGAGGGGACTGAGGCGCTATGGCATGGCAAACAATAATTACTATCAAGTTTTAACGGATGGCGACGTGAATATTTTGTGGCGGTGACAAATGGTGGCTGTTAAGTAGCCAAATGTGGGCCACAACCAGCTAAAACATGTCTTAGGGTGAAATTTTTCAAATTTTGTTTTCCTCCAGAAAACAGTTCTTGGGACCTTGCTTGACCTCTTGAAGGTGATACAGGGCAGAAAAGTAGTCTACAAGTTCCCCAAACACCGCTTTCAAAATATGTACTTTGAAATAGAAAATGACAGTTTTCGCACAGTCTGACACAAAGAGACAAACTACATGTATTACTTAGTGGCTTTTGTGGCGGAGCACAATACAACGGAACTAACGATGTTGACACCGACTTGAGCATGTCAACGACATCAGTTCAAAGGCATGGCCGAAGTTCTTCCTGGAAAGCAACACGATGCGCTGGGCGGCGTTGCAATTGCATACTCTTTCGATTCTGGCAGTGACACTTTCGATCGTCGCCTGCGTTTCCGAGACTGCGTCAGACGCCTCATGAGAGCTGAACGCAAGTAACGTCGTAAGGCAGCCGGTTCGCCGCCTAAATGATTATGTACTAGCCCACAACTTGTGCCTCTTCGCTACTGGAGACGACGGGGACGATTCAGCTTCGCTGTCGACATCAACATCAATGAGATCCCAACAAATTGTCAGCGTCGCTCTGCAGACCCGCCGCCACGGACTTGCAGACACCTGAACAAACCTGGGCCATGCACAGCGATCGTCTGGCCCTGCAAGCTGCCCTATTATCACTAGATGCGGACATTGTCAAGTTTTTGCTCGCCAGCTACTTGAAGTAGAACGCCAAACAAGTGTTTGAACAAAATTTGAGAAGATGATCGCCACATCGATCATTAATCATTTTGAATGAAGTGCAGAGTGAACGCGCTCCAAAAAAACATTTCTTTCATTTCGTCATTTCCCAACTTTTTTACGAAACCCCAAAGACATGTTTTAGCTGATCGCGGCCCATGTTATCTTGACACTCCGCTTGATACGTCGCATGACTGTGTTGTCCAAGGTTACTGATATGATGCCTTGTCTTTGAATCGGGATACCCGCAGAACTCCAAACATGCGACTGTTAGTCATTTCGCTCAATTTTGCTACTTTATTTTATGCAGTCACCCAGATTACATTGAATACTGTCGAATGCTTCCTCCAGCGTAGGGACAGTATGCCTAGGATAGCACTAGGTATGAGTCGTATGTATTCAGGCTGCTCCCGTGCAGTAGCTCACGACACGAGGTAGAGCGACGCCGGTTAGCATCAGCCGCTGTTGTCTTGGCGGACCAGATTGAAAACTCCAGATACAAAATGTTTTACCAGTCTTGCTCTGGCAATTTTCCCCCCTTGTGGATCTACATAATCTTCTGGCAAGAAATTGTCAGAGCACACCACTGTAGTGTCACTTTCTTTTGCTCTCCTTGCCTTTCCTCCCGTCGAATAGCAACAGTCCATTTCCTTCACAGTTCAGGATGATGGAAATTTATGGAAAAGACGAATTCCATTTGCTGGGGCTGGGGAGTAACGCCGGTCACCAGTACATCCTGGAACACAGCAATGGTCGTGGTTGGTTGGTATCCGAAAACAAGAGAGCGAAAAATCACTCCAGCCACTATATTAAAAGCAAGCAAAACTGTTTCTTCCATCCAGATTTACAGCTTTAGTTTCAATGCCGAAGGAAGTGCTAAAACTAGTAACGGTGGAACTGCATGCATTCCATTCATGCACGTGCAGCACCTGATCGCGTAAGCGCGCAACAAGCCTAAAATCCGTGTACTTTGCACATCCCCTGCACTTGACAAGCTAAGCCTGGGCGCATCAATCGCATGCCCTCTCAACTTTTCGAGCGCTTATTTGGCATATCATCTAGTGTATTGAGTAGGACTATCGGTCTCAAACTCGTGAGTGGTCCGTGGGGTTTGTTTGGTTTGGCCAACGGGATTAGGACGCCTGGGCCGACGACGCTCGAGAAGTCTAGGCCTCGGGTGATGCTGGTATTCAGGAGATCTGCAACTATAGGACCGGTATATTATGCGCCATATTTCAGCAGCTCTTCATGCACCAGGGCCTCTCCACAGGCCTTTTGGTTCTTCAACTGCTGAAGGGCTCGGCTCACCTCAGTAATGGCCACGGGAACCTCCAGCTTATGGAGCGTTCGGCGTTCGACTGTTGATATCAGTGCAGAATAGAACTGCTGTCGAAAGTGCGCCGCGATTATGTCCACTTTTTCCTGACTCTGGGCAACAACTTCACCGTCGGTGGACTCAACCTTCACCGAACTGTCTGCAGACTTCCATTTCAGGGCCTTCGCCACCTGAAACATCTTCACCGAATCAGGAGCGTTATTGATTTGTTCAACAATTTTATCGAGGCGATCATTGGCTTCTGAAAGCTGCGTGTTTCTGATTTTATGGAGAACTTGAATTCTTGCTTTCCTTAGCTCTGCTGCGTTGCTCGGCCCAGAGTCGATCAGAACCCTGAGCCGACTTTGCTCACGGGATAGTTCTTGAATTTCCGCACTTTTTTTATCAGTGTGCCACGATTTGAGCGTCTCATGTGTCCAACAACCCCTTTGGCTGACTCCCTCATTAGGGTGGTTGAAGATTTCCAGAAATCCGCAACGGGAATGCTGTCTGCCACACTATAGAACGTTAGAGAGGATTGGAGATTCAGCTTTAGATTTTCTCGGTTTTTGACGCTCTTTTCAGGATTCGCAAGCTCTGCCACAGCAAGAGGTTTCTCCATACTTTTTGTAGATTTTGCATCGAATGCTCTGAACAACCGGCTTGTCTCGAGATTGGCAATAACGAGCTTATGATCACTGGCAAGCTGTGTCCCTCCGTACGAGCGTGCCCTAATCAGCTGCGGACGCAGGTGCGTAGGGAGCAGAATGTAGTCAATCATGTTGTAGATTTTCTTTGTTTGGCCTGTTCCCTTGACCTTGACATGGCCTGTCCAGGTAGTCCAGTAACGCATTGAACATCGGAATACAGTGTTTGCCAGCAGGAGTTGTTGAGAAGCATGTGTACACACAATAGTATTCAAGTCATGGATTGAGCTGTTTCTTCTTTTGTGGACTCATCCGTGCAGCACAGAGAAAGGCTGAGCAACATCGCAAATGAGAAATACATTTTCCAAAGCCAGATTTAAACCAGGCCTGAATGTACCTTTCCAGAGTGCTCCATCTACAAGTCAGTGAGCTCTGCATAATGCAAACACATGTCCATCAAGATGACCATCATGATACTCCGAGTGCAGTTGCTATGCGACCTGCCCATGTAGAAGGGAATGCAGGCATGCAAGGAAGACGGCTAACAGTTTCCCGTAGTCGGTATTGGCTCTCAGCCACAGATGCCCTCTACACCCTCCCTGAACCGCTTTCACACTGGCCTAATCCTTATATTTTACAACAAATATCACCTTTCCATTTCTTTTCCATTTTCACCTTCAATAAAATGTACATTCACCTCCCCAACTTCTACTCCTTCCCACTTTTGTTGCACAGAAGTGTCCCCTGAATCTGAGACCTCAGGTCGGCGGAAATACTCCAGTTCCACCACCACAGCTCAGAGTTCGTAGTTTCTCGCTAAAAAGTCTGGCATAGAAACGTACTCACACGGTGTGCAAACTAGTGACTGCACGATGT